TTGCAACTGAATCTTATTTGTACGAGTACATATGCTCTTTTGAACTTACATACGCTTTGTACTTGTCCAGGAGAATGGATTTTCTGTCAGAGTTCGAGATTATAATATTATTCAAAGAGATGTGATTGAAAGCAGTTTTATTAAAAATTGATTGAAATTCACAATTAAATATTATTATTAGAATGTTGCAAAATTCAATGTTGGCACAGTTTTTATAACGTTCTTAGTTTTGGAGTATTAATCATGAATAACTATCTTTTTATATTATGTACAGTCTATATATATATATATATATATATATATATATATATATATATATATATATCTATACTACACAATATTATTTTAACTGTCTTTTTTCATGCTCTCTCTTCTAATCTTGCTTGTTATCTTCTAACTTCTAATTTTATTCAACTTCTATGTTCCTCTTTCATCTTCGCGTAATCTATCATTTTTCTTCTTACTCCCAATTGAACTCAACCAATCGAATTATGTAATTGTTAATTTAACAACGCAAATTTTTATGCCAATGCTAGGATTGGAACCGAGTACCCCTAGCGTGTGAGTCGGACATGCTACTGAATTCTTCGCATAAATCAACGTAAACTATAGTTGAATATATAATGTCTCTTTTAACACAATTTACATCTTACAAACTATACGTTCCACCCAATCTTTTTCACTTGAATTTTTATAAGCTTTACAACATACCCGACAATACAATTTTTGCATGTTTCAAGAAACCACAAGGTTTTATTTCAACTTTTCAACATTGGAACAATTTAGCAATTTACACATTATCTAAGATTGATAAATTTGAAGAAATAAGATTATCAAAATTCAAAATTATTCGATAATAATAACGCAAACCAAAATTTTATGATAATACAATGTTATATTACTTGGGGGGTGTCCATTAATCACGTGAGTGAGTTTTTAAGGATTTTTGGAACTTCCCTCATTCTTGGTGATATTTGGTGAGATTCAAAATTACCCCCCCTCCCACCAAACACTTTTAGTTATGTGAAAAAACTGTAAAATATTTGATTTTTTTTAAATGTTCGAACTTTTTTAGAAAAAAATAATTTAAAAAATAAATACACATGATATCTTACTATACCTCTCCCTCCCCCACGTGATATTTGGTGATTTTTTGTCAAACCTTCTCCCCCTAAAAACCTCACGTGATTAATGGACGCCCCCTTGTCAAAAAAGACACAGTTGCACACTTTTGTATAAGGTTTTAGCCTGCGGGTTAGTAGCCTTGACAATATTATGCAGGACGGTGGAGACAAAGAAATATTTTAATATCGTTCAAGACTTTACTTAGACCCTGTTTCCCTTAGAGCTTCTAGCTTCCCTACTTAAAACAAATTGGTTAATTTAATTTATTTTGAATAACGATTTCTACTAACCAATCAAGCAATATGACACAATATAAAATATATGAGTTATAGTTATACAATCACAATATAACATACAGATTTGGCCTTTTTCACAATACTCTCTGTATCGGCTCTTTAAACATATGAAATGTATGGGGCCCAAATGTCAATGTGAAGTGCAAAAAATACAATCCTGTGTGAGGATAGAAGATATTACTTTTCGAATCGCTTCATAGTCAATATATGATTTAATTGAATTAATTATGATAAATAAACTAATTAGTATAGTTCTGAAAACGTATCAGCTTAATTAGCCTAAGCACCTTTTGAACGTAGTTTGCAAATGATTCCGGACATGTATTCGGTGAAATTTATTAGTGTCATCCTAGGCCAATTAACAGCCACTAATTGGATTCTGCGTGCAAAATGTGGGACGGTTCGATAAACTTCGTTATAACAAGCAAAAACATCAAATGTTGTGAATTCGACGGCCGAACTTTTGACACTGCTCGAAGTTTCATCTGCGCCTGCAGATTTAATTGGTTGACTAACTGTTGTTACAAGTACCTGGTTTCATTATAGTCATCGTAATGGAACGAAACTTTACTTACCTTCATCGTTTATTAGTGTTTTAGTTGCTATCTCTGGCTAATATTGTATGTGAAGTGCCTTAACTTTTGATAAACACTTAATTATCTATCTTGTTCATGGGAAATCTTAATGATGAACTTTGTAAATAAACTTGCTATTATGGAAAATAGACACGAACTCAGTAGTCGGATGACTATCCATCTCTCAGAGGATTTGTCCTCACAATCATAGATAGGTTACCATAGATATCCGAAATTGGTAGTAATAACATTTAATGTTAATGTTGACATCAAATGTTGTTATTCTTCGTCTTTAACATCGAAATTTTCAGATCGACACCGTAATACCATAATAAATTTTTTTTATGAACAGTTATCAATTGTTCCAGTTTTAACAAAAAATCAATTAAATTATTTGAGAAAATTAATCCGAATATTATTTCAATGTGAACATTAGGGTGGTCCTTAATATGGACATTTTTGAATTTCCTTGCTCCCAAGGGCTTAAATGATTCCAAATTGATAAAAAACAATTTTTGAAAGTTTTAATTCTTAATATTGTCTTTTAGATAGTGCGCAATTCAATCAAAGTTTTGTATGGAAATAGCATGAAAAAAATTTCAAATATTTTGCAGAGAGTCGAATTTTCAATAAAAAATGACACGAATTTTCACTTTTAATTCATTTGTCGCTAAGTTATACTTAAATTAAAAAAAAAATTCAAATTTTTTTCTATGCTATTTCCATACGAAGTTTGATTGAATTGCGCACTACCTGAATTTACTTTTAATGAAATGTTTTTTATCAATTTGGAACCATTTGAGCCCTTGGGAGTAAGGAAATTCGAAAATGTCCATATTGAGAACCACATTAGTGAACAGAGATAGAAAACAAATGAGTTCTATGTGTAAAAAATAAATCAAGAAATTTCCTAATTCTTAATTTTCGAATAGCATTATATATTAATTCATAACAGAGTAAATAGTAAATAAATGCAATTTTACCGATTTGCAAGTAATAAAAGCATAACCATGCTACAATAAATAATAACCACGTCTAATTTTACTTTACTATGGTTATGTAAAATTAATTAGTAAAAGATCCATTTTAATCTTTTTGAATTACTCACAATATTTTAAATAGAGCAAAGCCCTCGGTGTACAAGTCATACTCGCACTTGACACAAATTTATATATTATTTATTTTATGTGTATGATTTGAGAATAATTTTATTTATTTTATGAGTATGATTCATATATGCCTATGGACATTTATGGTCATGTAAGTATTGAATCAAGGTTTTTATGAGAATATGCGGAATACTATTCACTCCGTCAATGAGAATAAATTAGAAGAGTCTAAATGTTTATGAGAATTATATGGTTTTACAAATTATCAAGGTTTATTAAATTCAATTGCTGAAATTGGCTTTTAATTCTTAAAATGTAATTGAATATTTTAGTGCTATCACCTCTTATTTTATAGAAGTATAAATTTAAGATTTATATTTTCAAACTGAAAAAAATCATGATTGATTTTTTTAAAACTAATGAAAATATGTAATATTTGAAATTGTTTGAGAAAAAAACAGAGAAGTTTTAAGAAGCATTTATCCAGTAAACTAACTTCATTTGTAATTATTATTTCTTGTTATAAAATGAAGGTTCAAACTTAAGATTATATTTTGAAAATGTAAATAATAAGAGGTTTTATTATAAGGCATTTCAGCGCATTCACCTTTTCACTTAACCAATATCATATTTATTGATTCTATTAACTTTACTAAAAGATATGTTTTAGCTAAAAAAATATATTTGTATTAACACAAAATTCGAAAAGTATATGTATGTGTATGTGACGACTTTTTCTCCAAAACTGATGCTCAAGAATTTTAAAGTCATTTGGCAAATGACTTGCGTTGATTAGTTTTGCATGAAGTTCGGTTGAATCGAATTTTTGTAATTGACAGTTAAATGAAAAATTATTTGTAAACGCGAAAAATCCGGAAACTATTTTATTAATCCAAGAACCATTTGATAAATATTAGTTTTGTGAAGATGTGCCATGCTGTTTCTTCACTATTTTGGATTTTGTCATCCACGAAAATAGCAGTTTGATTTAAAATATTCGGAGGCTAATTCTTCGACCGTAACATAGCGTTGTGACAGCCATTTTAAATAATAAGTGCATCTTTGTAATGTGTATTTATAACACATACATAAAGTTAGGTTTTATGTGTAAAACGCAATCAATCGAAGTGCCATTTTTTTAAATTGTTTTTGAAGTAATCAGAACTTAAGAGTTCCTTAATCTGTTGTGCTAATTTGACTTAGCTACTACGCCAGTTTTACTAAGATGACCATATTTTTTGCAGTCAAAATCGGGACGGCAATTTATATAAAATTTTAATTAAAAAACAGTTTTTTTTCAATATGAATCTTTTTTTTAATCATAATTGCGGACTTTTTGTAAGAACTTTATTTTTCGATTTTATGTAATACTTTTTTATATATGATATCCATGTTTTAATTCTATACAATTTTTTTTATAATTAATTTGAAAAAAAATAGCTCTTTTTTATAATTATGGTTAATTTACATATTAATTTTCGAAAAACGGGACAAATCGGTACAAAAGATCTAAATCCGGGGCAAATAATGCTTTTAGAAAAACCCAGGACACAATGTGGAAATCCGGGGCTATCCCGGCCAAACCGTTACGTATGGTCACCTTTGTTTTACAGATGGTAACCCAAACAGTTGCCTCATCTCCTGCGAAAAAAATTATTTTTACAATTTCTGTAATAGGGCGAATATTTTATTGATGCAGCAATGCCGGATGAGGGCTATTTTCCCTTGGAAAAATGCTGCTATTTATATTTCCAAGTAAAAACCTATGTCAATACTGCTTGAAATCGATCGGACCTCGAATCGTGATCGAACCCGGGACCTCTGATTTAGTTTTATAAACTAAAGCAAGAATTATTGTTTTTTCATTATCTTACAGTATATTTTTTCCTTTCCAGAACTCTGCGAAGAGTGGGCGCTCGCCAATAGCCTGAAAGAGAACGGAGTTAACGGCGGCGATGCACCCGAAACCAATGATAGTCAACCGGAGGGCCAGGTCACCTTCCTGGTCAAGTATTTGGGGTCGACGCCGGTCGCCAATCCCAAATGCGAACAGGCCACCGCCGACGCCGTCACTGCTATAATCAACATAGCCAAAGGTAGGAGGTTATTACACTTAGCACCTAATGCAAAATTATGATCACAGGCAAAGCATTATTTATTCTATTATTTTAGACTAACAGGATTATGACAACCTCTGGTCGTATTAAGTTTATAAAATTATTTATAATTTATGCTTTGTCTCTTATTATTTTTATCATTAATACCAAGATTATACAGGAGATTAATATTTATTTTAGTAGGTGTTATATTAAAAATTATATTAATATTTATTCTCACAGTTTTGTCTTGTATATTATTTTCTTCTATATTTATTTTTTGCGGGTAGTTTTCATATTACCACACGGGTAATTCTTCAACGAACGTACTATCATTTATTTTTATTATATTGATTACAATTCATGAAAAGTTCCTCAACGTATTAACGTGATGATTAGCATTATTAAATAAATTCTAATTCCTTTTATTGCACTATTTCAAAGTATCGAATAAATCCTTATTTATACCCATAAATAGTACCTCAATCATTTAATTTAACTAGTTGGTTTGGTATTTAGCCTTGAGGCAAGTTACATGAACTTCCCGATATGTGTAAATAATTGACTTAATCAAAAAAAGTGTAAATAATATACTTCATCAATCCTACTTTAAAAAACGATAATAATTTTAGTAAAGTTTGACGAATTTTTAAAATTAAACTACTTGTCGTAATGCCGTAATATTACAGTAAGTTCTATAAGACCATGATGTATATCGCCAAAAAAAAGTTCCATGAAAATCGGCTTAAATTTTTTTTTCAACAGTTCATTACAAGAAAACGGCTCGGTAGATTTTCAGCTAAAATTAATCAGTACCATTCCCAACTAATATCTTTCGAACAGTTTTTGATTTTTTAAAATCGGTTCGGTAGGATGAGCTTAAATGTGGACGAAAATTTAACACTTTTTTTCAACAGTTAATTACAAGAAAACGGCTCGGTAGATTTTCACCTAAAATTAATCAGTACCATTCCCAACTAATATCTTTCGAATAGTTTTTGATTTTTTAAAATCGGTTCGGTAGGATGAGCTTAAATATGGACGAAAAGTTTAACACTTTTTTTTAAATTGCAAAGAAACGGCTTGGCAGATCGTCGCACAAAACTGACAAACGATAGTCCTCACCGAAATACATCAAATGGCTTTTAAATTTCTGAAATCGGTTCAGGCGCTTTTGAGAAAACGTCGATCAAAAGTCTAATTTTGACAAATGTCAAAAAAACTATACCAATTTTTGCAAACTTTGACGAATTTTTAAAGCTAAACGAGTTGTCGTAGGGCCGTAATATTTTAGTATGACCTAGAAAACTATGGTATCTACCGTCAAAAAAAAAATCATAAAAATCGTAGAATTTTTTTTTTTAAAACGTTATTACAAGAAAACGGCTCGGCCGATCTTTACCAAAAACTAATCAGCACGATTCCCAACCAATATCTATCGAATGGTTTTTGAATTTTCAGAATCGATTTAGAATTGCGGGCTAAAACGTGGGCGAAAAATTTTTCACTTTTCTGCAATTTACAACGAAACGGCTCGGCCGATCGCCGCACAAAACTCAGAGACGATAGTCCTCATTGAGATACATCGAATGGCTTTTAAATTTTTAAAATCGGTCCAGTCATTTTTGAGAAAACGTCGATTTACGGCAAAAAATCTGTTCACATACACACACACACACACACACACATACTTTTTCCAAATTTGGTCTCATTCGATTCAGAATGGCTTGAAACGTCGAGAAAACATAAAATTAGCGAATCGGATTTTTTGATGAAAACAAACTTCTCCTTCGGGAAGTTAATTATTTTATCTGTTTGTCAGTGAGTGGTTTGTGAAACAATTGTATACGCTAGAGCATTCGTAGTTTAGAGTTATAAAATATTTTTTGGAGTTATTATAATATCAGTAATATAAGCCAGACTTTTCACAAGTTTTTTTAACTAACAATATTATTTTATATTTTTATTTCTACCTAATAAATAAATTAGCTTGATTCAATTTATTCAATTAATTGGTTATGCGTTATCCTAAATAATATCTATTTTTGATAAGCAAAGAACCCTTTACTAAATAATTTATTATAATACTTAACTTGTATACTTATATGAAGTTTACTTTCATGATGAGTTTTTGATATTAGAGGGTGTAAATATGATAGGTAAATCATCTGCTTTTATTTGGAGAGAATATTTAATATAATGAATACACGTGTTTAATTCTATAGGCCAATGTCAAGAGACATGTAGAATCAGAAATAATTGTAAATTTCTTTGACCTCAAAATATTTTTTTCCTAACTCTTATAGTAATATTCATTTATGATATTGTACTAATATTTTTCGAAAACAAGGTTTTTCTTTTTAATTCTTATGAAATGACTATATTTGAATCGTTCAATGAATAAAAATATCGCCGAGCGGTTAAACTTTGAAATCAGTTTTTTTGAAAATAAATATTTTGAAAGATTATTAATACTAGGTGTAAGATTTTGCCTTAAAGGATGCATGAACTTTCTGATATGTGTAAATAATCGACTTAATCAATAAAGATCACAATTAGTTAATTAAATAAAATATTCTAAAATAAGTTTTCGCTTTTACTAAATGCAAATCAATTACTAATTGATATCTTTTGAACAGACTTATAATATCTGTAATATAGTGCACGTTCTTGCATGTTCTAAAAACGCGATATTAAACCGAACTTTAATGAGTTTTTATAATTTAACCACTTTTCGTAAGAATATAATAATTCAGCATGTTCGATTTGACCATGAACTCTATGGCCATGTTATGTTTCATTAAGATCGTCGAAAACTAACTGCTCATCACTATTTCCAAATAACATCTTTTGAAGGATTTTTCAATTTTTAAAATCGATTCAGAATTTTTGGCTAAAACACGAAAATTTTTGCACTAATGTGCTAATTATAAAGAAACGGCTCGCCTAATCGCCTCAACTAATAAAACTCATCAACGCGAATCCTTATCAAGATTCATGAAATGGCTTTTAATTTTTTGAAACGTTGACGAAAGGTCAAATTTGGTCTCACATATAAATACTTCTAATTTTGGTCTCAAACGATTTAAAATAACTTGTAGATAAAACATAAATCGGATTTTCTGGCAAAAAATAAACTTTTTCTTCTAAGTTAACAATGCACATTTTTACGCATCACAACTACATATATGTGCAGTATCATTTTACAAGAAGCGTAAAACTGTTTGTATTTTTCGGCGACGGTAAAAATTCTTTGTCGTCTCTAACTGATGTTATCGAAATTACACCTCCATGCATTTGCATTTTTCTTAGCATCGCGAAGAAAGTTTTTCATCTGAATAACATTTTAATTAGTATGCCGTACTTTGCTTAATATTTTTTGTAGTTGTGAGTTTACCCGATGGGAAATTTTTAACTTATTCCGAACTTTTCGCTTCTTATTTAAATTATGCGAATATTTTTTATACCTTCTGTCTTTCGCATAAATTTGTTTTTAATATTATTTTCTCAGAATTGGAGGATATTTTAATATTTTGCGATATTGTAAAATTTTCATTTTTGAATTTTTTGCGATTACTTTAACTTACCCTACGGGAAGTTAATGGACAACTATTGCCTTCTAATAATACTAGATTATAAGCAACATTGAAGAATAGTTTTAATTGCTGTTAAAAAAATGCGTGACTGTTATTGCATGACTAATATCTGAAAATTCTGTGTAGTAAGATAATTCACCCCGCTCCAGATTATCCATGTGAAATGATACAATCGGATAATAATTTATTAGACGAACGGTGGAGCATAAGTCAAAGGAATCCGTCTCCGGGTTTCCATTTTTCGTTGAATAAATACATAATAATCTAAATGCTGGCGATAATTATAAAATTACAGAATTATTAGCATATCTAATTTGCATAGAGTTTTATATCAGCTCGAAACTGGAATGGAGGATTGGGAAATGTAATAAACAAAACCGTGTACTTTATGGCATTACCATATTGAATGAATGAGTGCGTGCTCGTGAACGCTTTCGAATGAAAATTTCTCAAACTAATTGTGAAACAAAGTCAAGCATTCGGACATACATAGGCAGGCACAGAATGTAATTAGACATATTTCTGGAAATTATTATTATTCGAATAATTTTTATTGAAACACGATTGCGAGTCAGTGTATTGATTATGAATAAAAATTATGCATGCATTTATTTTAATTTTTAATTGAATATCACTTTAGTTTATAATGAAATTCATATATTATATATGTATCTATATATTTTTAGTTTGGTTGATTAGAACGTTCAGAACTACATTTATCATTTAGAAAATAGGTTAAACTTTTTTTTGAACATTTGAACATTATTTACTGGATCCTTCTTATAAATATGAATTGAAGAGTATTAGACTTATATTTTTCCCCTGATTATAATTTTACATACATTTTTGCAAGTATGTAGGGCAGAGCGGGGCTTAAAGGTCCGCAAGTGAAAAGGCCCACCACCAATATCTCAAAAACAATTAGAGTTAGGATTTTTTAATAAGAATATTTGAAAGTAGAGGGCAAAAGATGTGTAACTAGCCGCCTCCTTAAATCAAGCAGCGTCCCTATCAGAAGATAAATCAGGTGTGTGTATGTATGTGTGTGTGTATGTATGTGTGTGTGTATGTATGTGTGTGTGTATGTGTATGTGTGAACAGATTTTTCGCCGGAAAACGACATTTTCTCAAAAACGGCTGGACCGATTTCAAAAATTTAAAAGCCATTTAATGTATCTCGATGAGGACTATTGTTTGTCAGTTTTGTGCGACGATCTGCTGAGCCGTTTCTTTGTAATTTCGAAAAAAGTTTTAAACCTTCCGCCCACATTTAAACTTATACTACCGAATCGATTTTGAAAAATCAAAAACTGCTTGAAACATATTAGTTGGGAATGATACTGATTAGTTTTAGGTGAACTTTTTTTAGCGATATATATCATTGTCTTATAGAACTTACTGAAA